AGTTGATGAAAACATGTCAAAAATAACTATTGTTTCAATTAGAGAAGATTTTCACAAATTGCATCATTAGTGATGTACTTGTGATGTCATAAAAGTAGATGAATTATGTTTTAAACTGGATTGTTTGCATATAACTTGGCAAAATCTGTGACAGTTTTCTGAAAAATAAACAGGGACCCCACCCCTCATTATTATTATTTTTCTCTGAAAATTAAGTGGATGGGTGCTAAGGGTTTACTCCTGGTTTGCCCACTTTTAATTACACCAATTATTTATTAGTAAAGAAAACAAAAAAGACAAAAGGTTTAATGAGCATACAATTATATAGTCTGTTTCAACTTAGGTATATAGTTTATCAGTGTTTTCTATATATATTCAGGTATTTATTTTTTTTGTAATTCCATTTTCATAAATGTATAGATAAATTATAAATAAATCATATATTTTTTCTCTCAATAATTTAACATACATGTAAAACAATGACACTAGCCTGTTTTAAAAGTAATATAAAGTATATTAAAAACTAAACAAATTTCGTTCGCAGGGTTTTGGGGCCGCTGAAGGCCCGAAGAAGCTATAGAAAAATGTATGCAAAATCATGCATTCTACGCATTTCCCAGAACCTTTTTTGATCAAAAATGCAAGTTCTGTTTTAATTATTTTTTGACAATATTTTGGTCTCAAGGCAAAATATATAGTTTAAGTGTAAGACTTTTAGTCTTTAGAGACAACATCAAAAGACCAATATGTAGGATAAAGCAAAAACATGTAGTTTACATATGGTTTTATGGATGTGGCTGCTATTTTTTTTTTTAGATAAAAAATACTAAAAAAAAAATAAAAGTCAAGTTAATTTTTTTTTTACTAAATTACAAATGGAAAGCAACACTAAGAGAATAAAGTAAATGTTCCTGAGACCATTTACCTTAGTTAAATGAAACCCATTTTCGGACAATTAATTCAAGTAAATTAATATTTATACATTATATTACTTAAAGATTTGGGAAGTTTTTCCCTAAAAAAAAAGAAAAAAAGACGAATTTTGGAAGAATCTGGTGCCATCTCATACTAAATAGCATATATAAAATGGCTTAAAAGACCTGCCTTGAGTTATTTATTTTCAATACATTTTAAGTCAGTTTATTCATTTTCAAACTACTACAGGACAAACCATTATTTTTTTTATTATTATCAAGGCTGAGTTATTTATTTTCAAAATCCTCCCCCCCCCCCCCCCCCCCTTACAATATCAAATGGTCGTCACCTAATATATGAATCAAGTTTATAAATGCATTGCATAAGGAAATAAATAGAGCACTATGGTAAAATAACAATCTGTTGGGTTTTTTTTAAGAAGAAAATGCTAGCTTGGATGCAGATTACTGTTAAAATTATTTCATTTGTAAAGCTTGGCTACTGAACACGGTTGCATTTTTATTCTAATTGTTAGAATTTATTGTCAAATTCAATACATTTTCCTGATAAAAACTATATTGAAAATTTTCATTGATTTAATAGCAGAATATAGTATTTGATAAAATTTTACAGGTAAAATAAAAGGTAAAAAATATGACTATAATTCAGAAATAAACTATAATTGTTAAAACAACAATCCACCCTATGTTTACATATGCATGTAATTAAAAGTGGGCAAACCAGGATGACACCGTGCTAAGGCAACACCATACCATTTATCATTGGTTTATTTAATAAATACTTCTTTATCCCTATTTTTATTCCAACTACCTTTATTGCATCTGATGAGAAAAATTTTCTGTTTGCTGCATCATGTACTTTTTTTCAATGTTTTTTGTTGTAAGTACTGATCTGATCATGATGAGTTAAAATTACAGCTTGTGGCATGGATTACTTTTATGTCAGAGTTTTTGTTGTAAGTACTCATCTGCTGAGTTGATTTTTCAATTTTCCTTATCATTTACTTTTATGTTGATGCTTTTGTTTTAAGTTCTGATCTGAAAAGTTGAGTTTACAGCATTGTTTTTATTTTGCTATGTCCCTATGCAAATTTAAGAAAAAGGTTGTTTACCCCTTACATATTTAACAAACCTATCCTAAATCAGGAGCCTCAAGTTCAAGGGATCACTATGTTTTCCTTTTATTCATTTTATATACTGGTTATCGCCCTAAAATTACTATTAAGTAGATTTTTTTAACATTTGGTCTCATAATAGCTTATCTTTGAAATATGGGCCACTATCAATTGTTGAAAGCCCTTTACATGAATTTTCCTTAATGTTGATTTATTATTATTCATCATGAATTTTGTGACAGATTTTGGCACAACCACAAAATTAAATATCCACGAAAAGTTTTCCTCAATCCATGAAAATATATGAATTAGGGATGTCAACGAGTACTCGAGTATTCGAGTATCGATCTGTAGTACCGAGTATCGAATACAAAAACGATACTCGACTAATCTGGTTCCTGTAAGAATATTGCTGTCTTTTCTATATAAAATTGATCTTCTTGAGAATTTCTTGCGGAAAATTAAATAGACATCACTGATTAATCATACTTAAGTCTAGTAAATAAAATACATTTTGTTTCGAATGCATGTGCTAAATTGTCATTTAAAATGCCTCCGAAAATACGTGGGCTATAACTAGGCTAACACATTACACTAAACATGTCTTAGCCATTCCGTCACATCGGTACCGTCAGAGCAAATATTTTCGTCTGCAAGACTGTTAGTTACAAAGTTGCATAACCTACCGTCCCCAATAATAGTTATGTTTCCAAATAAAATAAATTTATTGCATCCTCTGGTGATCCTCAGTGAATAGTTAAACTTCTAATCCTTACGCCTTTGTAAACATTAAATGTGTTTTCTTAACGAAAACAAAATACTATTGTTTGATATGGTTTTTCCTTGTTATAATTTTTAAATCGGTGTTCATTAAATTATATTGATTAGATTATTATTTTTTACTTAATTAGTACTTGTAGGTAATGAGCTATTAATTATGGTGTGTAATTCCTTGTCCCAGATACTTATGTAGATGGTTTTTCGTCCGTTGAACAACAAACCACAGAAAGTAAAAAACGTATTTTTGTGTTTCTGTGTTGTAGATATATTACCGAGCGAGTACTCGAGTATTGCTCAATAAAACCAACGAGTACTCAATTATTAATTGTTCACCAAGTTGACATCCCTAATATGAATCCAAAGTAATTCCAGTTAAACCCATTTGTCTTGGTGTAATCAGACCCTGCATACAAATACAAGTTCATTATTTTCATAGATGTATTCATAGATGAAATGTCATTACTCTATTTGCAAATTATAACAGTGGGAAATCTAGTGACAAAATATTACCTCCCCTGTAAATATTGATAACTAGATCTTCTCAATGTTTGTCCCATTTTAGCAAGGACGCTATCAATTATGGATTCATGGGAAAACGTTCTGGTTAATAGTAAAAATAGAAATAAGTTGAAATAAAAACAAAACTTCCATTCAATGTTATCATTTCCCTCCTTAAGTAGCAAACGACGGGTACAGCAGGCTATAGAAGCTTGATGTAAAATTGGTTTAAAATGTTGCTATGCTAATAAATTCCAGGAGTACCAACTTCAATTTATTTTTCTTCTGACTGTATACCTTTCTGGAACATGCTAATTATCTGAATATATATACAGCTAGATCAGAGATAGTCAGAGAAGAAATTCCAAAGGAATCGATTGATATGCAGCAAAGATTGGCACTCTTGAAATTAAGTTACTAAGCAAATTCAAACGGACCTTATCTCGATTTAAACATTGAATGTGAATAGATCGAGAAGACCGCAAATACATGTACAAAAATCGAGACAACCTTTTCTTAAAATTTCATAAAAAATAGTAGAAAGATACCTACTTTATAAAAATAGTTATCTTTTAATTTCTTAACCTGCACAGACACTTTTAGATTTTTTATTCACAAAAAGACAATATTTCTCTATTGAATGTACATGTGACAAGAGCAGACCAGTGTGCTCGATAACTTAGGTGTGAAAAAATAAGAATACTTTGGGAACTTGTAACATGCTAAGGACTTGGTGGAACACTCCGAAAATTGGTGACCCGAAAGATCTTTAGATTTTGTATGCTCATGATTTTTTCCAATTTTTTTTATCAATATGCAGCAAAGATTGGCAGTTTTTAAATTTCAGTTTCACAAGCTTCTTATGCAATTATCTCGACATATACTGAACATAAAACATCGTGTATTTGCATGTATATTTCTAATAACACAGTTTAACAATTAATTTGTTTAAAATGAACACTTATTATTTGGAAATAACTTTTGATCAGTATCGTCACCAGCATTGTTTCATTATTGACTTTCTCAACTCTATCATAAGAAGAGTGAATTTTCTTTTGTTTTCGTTCACTGGATATCCCACTGATAAGGAACAAATTAACAGCTGAAAGAACTAAAAGGCCTGGGAGAAACATGATTTATTTATTAGTTGCTTGCTTTCAGTAACTGTGAACACTTTGTTGTTTTTTGTGCTTCATGCTGATTGATGAGTCAAGCCATTTTGACTGATTTTTACAGTTTGTTCTTATATTGTGCTGTTACATTACTGTCCCAAGTGAGGAGAGGATAGAGTGCTCACAAACTTGTTTAACCCCACCACATTCTATGTGTGCCTGCCTCAGTTCGTGGATGTTGTAGATTCCTGACCTGAAAATTTTCACATTTTGTCATGTTGGGGCCTATTATAGCTGTCAGACAATACTATATGCCTTTTGCTCATTGTTAAAGGCCATACAGTGATTTATAGTTGCTTTCTTCATCCATGTCCCTTGGTCTCTGGTGGATAGTTGCCTTATTGGCAAAATATACATCTCCTTATTTTATATTTGTCTCACAAAAAAACTGAAGGATAAAAGGGTAAGAACACATCTACAAAAACATACAATCACTCACATCAGTTAAAATTTACTTTGAAATGCTGATGGTTAATAAACTGGCAAGTAAAAGAATGACCTTGAGCATTATGAATGTCTAATTATGTATTAAAGATATTAGGAAAGAAAATGAGTAGGTAATACAATGATAGATATAAATAATGTACCAGTATATAAACAAGTTAACAATAATAATAAATTACAAAATGTTAAACATTGCTAAAGTTACAGTCAAATAAATAATCAACCTGCTGGACTTTAGCTTGTTTCAATACAGTGGAGATGAAAAAGAAAAGCATGAAAAAAACATTCATATTTATCATTGTTTGTATTAAGATAATGAGCATCTTATATTATAAATATTATTATACAGCATATACATATAAATTGGGTCTGTAACCAGGTATTTCAATCAGGACTTAAATTAGAAACTGCTATAAAATCCAAAAAAGGAAAAATTTGACAAAAAAGGGCATTGCAAATATCGAATCTTGGGTAAAAATTTAAATTAACCAACATTAGGAATTTCAATTGATTCATATGTATTTCAAATCACTCAGTCATAACTGTGCAATTATCACTAATTCAAGACCCTTTCATATCTAACATTTAAATGGGATAAGGTTTTCTTCATTCAATTAATAGAAATCTGATTTTTCTGTTATTCTTGGGATATCTTCTTATATATATTCTATATATACCTCTTCAATATTTGGTTGGCAGATAAAAATTATAGATCTAAAGTATGTTACCTAATACACATTTTCCTTTATTTTATAAGGAGCAGATTGTGAAACCAGCAAACTAGGAGCAGATGGAACAACAACCTTTTGACAATTACACAAATGTAAGAAAAATCACACCTCCACGTCTTCCTAAATTTAATACTTACAAAGTTAAACAGTACATTCATTATTCCCACACCTTTTTTGTAATTTTTAACAATTCAATAAATAAAAATTTCTGAATTAATAGACAGCTGTTGCCATTCATTGTTTTTTGTAATCAATATTTTGTCCTCATACATATCAACCCTTAATAGTCTCATAACACATGACCAGGAATAGTTTATTGACTTATATTACATTTTGATAAGTTTCATGACTTAACAAAAGATATAATACACCACTGTCTTAATAAAGCTTTGAATTGAACAAATGTGCAATATATATACGAACTTATATTGGTGGTTTCCTTTCAATGGCAGTAAACCTGGCCAATTTCTGATCAGATTGTTTTTGTGAAATAAATGGCATTTTTCTACTGAATAAAAAGTTAATATTCATGCTTTATATATTAAGGAGAATATCATTCTTTTGACATTTGTTTTCTTGTATCTAAATTATGCAGTTGGTTCTTCTACTTCTACTACGGATGCAGCCACAAGTTGGGCGAGTTCTTCCTGCGACAATCCTGTCTCTACTTCCTGTGCATCTTCAGGTACCTCTATTAACCCTTCCTCGTTGTCAGCCGCAGCATCCATCACATTCTGTACGTGAATTTGAACTTCCTGTTCAATATTGGAACTTTCTTTTTCTTCCTGTTGTTTTTTAAGTTCTTCTAATTCCTCCTCCTCGTGACCTCTCATATGATTGTCTAAAATTTGTTTGCGACTAAACCCAAAATTACAAATATCACAACGATAAGGTGTTTTCCCTGTATGTGTGCGGTAATGTGTCTGTAAGTTTACTTTCTGTGCAAATGCCTTCTTACATACATCACATTTATATGGTTTATCCCCAGTATGGATTCTTATGTGTCGATACAAGTCTGATATCTTGGTGAATGATTTTCCACATGTATCACATACGATTTTGCCACTGTGAACTTTCAGATGGACATGCAGACGGTACATGTCACTAAATCCTTTGAAGCAAACTCCACATTTATAAGGTGTGTCATCACCAGCATGGATCTTCATGTGGCGTCTTAGATTACCACTCTCATTGAAAGCTCTGGTACAGATGGGACATTTGTATGGTTTCTCACCTAAAATGTATATAAATCAAATGTAAAAAGAACAGTCATTCACCTGCAATGAATAAAAATACAATGTTATACAGCAATAAACACTTTGAAAAACCTTGACTTAATACCACATATTTCAATATTGAAGATGGAAATTCTATTATCTCCCCTTTTACAAGTGGGGCCAAGATTATATTCCGCTATGCACGTCCTTAGATGGTGTTTGCCTAGCCTTTAAGGACAATTTGTGTTTAAGAGAGACTTAAAACATAATGCAACTGCATTGTAATTAAAAAAAATGATAATATCCCCTATAATATGTACGACAGGGATTACACATGTATTCCTTCGAGCACATCCTCAGGTAGTGTTCTATCACAGACAGATACCGGTAGACTAATTTACCAAATATTGTGATAGTGTTATTGGTAGTAAATAAAAAATATCAGGTATTACTTCCTTTGATACATTATATTGAAAAGAAATCATGAGCACCTCCCCCAGGTTCTTCTCTAGCTTTTTGATAAGGTTTCTGTTGCTCAATCTATAGCTAGCTTTTTCTGTCTTTTTATGGACAATTTTTTGTCATCCTCTTTTTACTTATAGCCATTCTGTTGTCTGTTGAAAATTGATTTTTGATTACATACATTGTGCATGGTAATCCTCTTTTTTCCCTTTTTTGCAACCAATAATCATTTTAATTATAGATTATCATTGGTCATCTCAACGAGATTGATTTTCTTGCTTTTCAATAGCTGAAACATACACAATCATTCCTAAAAATTCATACATTTATTTAACTTTTTTGTTTGTGAAATTGGTGGCTGGTTAGAATAAAGTATGTAATTATGTATTTTAAACATAAGTGGTAAGCTTTTTTTGCCCATATACATATAAATTAAATGTTTACCAGTATGAATACGCCTGTGCATTTTAAGCTCATAACGATGCATGTATGTCTTGTCACAGTCATTACACTTGTAAACTTTGGCATGGGTATGTGTCTTCAAATGTCGATGGCAGTTACTCTTACTGTTATACTCCTTGCCACACACATTACACTTATATATGTACTTAGTATCATCTACTCCTTCACTGGGGTTAAAATCTGGGTCATTATTCATTAAACCAGACTCATCCATTGGATCAACATTGGTTGTCTTGGGATGTTCTACTGCATCAATTGTACCATCATCATTCACTGAGACATCTATTAGATTACCAAGATCTATCAATGTCGCCACTTGTTGATTTGGTAGCGTCACCTGATGACTTTTTACCATGAATTGTTTTTCTCCATCAGATGATTCTGTTTCTTGGATGGTTTGTTGTGGTGGTTGGGTCGAGTGTGTTTGATGTTGTGTTGGTGTCCGTGGTGGTGGTGGGGGCGGAGGTGGAGATGGACGATCAGGTCTACGTGGATTAGTCTCTATCATAGGTCTAAGCTTGTCTTCATCTTGCTCATCTTTGTGCGTCTTCAGATGTTGTAGAAAGTTGGCCTTCTGAAACAAATTTCCACAATAACCACACATATAAATTTTCTCTTTGGCATGAGTTTTGAGATGGTTCTGCCAGTTAGCCCTACGTTTGTAAGTGATGCCACACAATCCACATTTATGTACAGTCTGATCACTTTTCTCAGCCTCATCATCCTGAATATTCTGTATAACACTAGCATTTGAAAATGACTTTCTGGGTTTTACAGGTTTAAATGTAGTTGGTGGACGTCCTCGTTTTCTCTTTCCTCTTCCAAGATTTTCCTGGTTTTCTTCATCACGAATCATCGCTTCCACTTGTTCATCTTCCACTTCCAAACTTGTATCTTGTGTAACTGTAGTTTCTTCATCATCTTCTACTGGAAAGTCGGTCTGAACACCACTGTCAGCAAAATCATAACTGTTATGATGTGGTACAGTTGTGTTTTGGATACCAATAGTTCTGCAATATCTCCCCTTCCATTTGAATTCTCCTTCTGCTCCAGTATCAACTGATGAATTTGAGTACACAACAATCTGTACAGTTCCATCTGGTAAATATTCTGTTTTATAGTTCCCTGCTGGTATCTGAACTGGTACCCCGTCAATTAAGATTTCTTGATTCATTCTGAATCTCTACACTGAACTCTATTAACACTGAAAAGAGAGGGAAAAAAATGTAACAAAAAAAGCAGCAATTGGCAAAACATGAGATCACATGAATGAAGACTCTCAATCTGAAGGTTTTTCTGTTACTTGTACGATTCAAATTTGATATCTTATTTAAATGGAGTTTTTGAGGTAGGTGTTTATGGATGTTGGAAAGTCAAAATGGCGGCTTAATCAATAGTTAACACATGTCAACTGTGGATTTGAGGATAGAGTAGCCAATAAAAATTCTTGTTAATTAAAAATTGAAAATGTTTGAATTTAAAATTATAAGGAAAACACATTTTTTCTTGAGGTTATTTTCAGATGTGTAACTTGGCTGCTGACTCACAAACTTTACATAAATTCAGTTTGTCAATCGCAGCAGTTTACACATCAATAACCTAGAAAAAAATGTTGAACCCTATAATTAGAATTCAGAACATTACGATACGAGATTTATTCAGATTATCAAGTGGCAGTTTTATATTTGTATATTGAATTAAATGCATGTTAAAGTGATTCAATTTCATTAATAATTGTTGCACTCGTGAAACATTTCAGGAGCATATAGTAATTGCTTTAACCATATATGTCCACCCTTCAGTCCATGTGTCCATAAAACAAATGATTTCTGGATGTTAACTTGAGTGTGACTATCCCTAGCTTGAGTGTATAACTTAAAACACATGGAAGATATAGGGATGGTGAAGAAGAGAATTATAGGTTTCATAATGAGAATTTATCTTTTTTATCTAAATTGTCAATAGCATTTACTAATAAGTAATTACCGTAATTAATGCATTTTTTTGTCTGAACTTGATCAGTGTTTTCTCATGTCAGGTGTGTTTACCTATACAAGTGATTAACAATCATTAACCTGATATACCCCAGAACAGTTATTAAGAGGACCTTTTGGATTATTATACAAGAGGAGTTACAGACTTTAGTCTGGAAGAATATGATTTATGATTAGTTGTATTTGGCTTTGAACTACATGTAGCTCCAGTAACTACCAGTACTCTTATATCAGTGCTTAGTCTTTATTGTACATGTTTTAATGTTACCGGTAGTTATGTTTTTTTGTGCTTTGTATCGATCTATTGAGTTGAGCCATTTGCAACTGATTTTTCCAGTTAGTTCTTATATTGTGCTGTTACACCACTGTCCCAGGTTAAAGGGGGGTTTAACCCTCACAACTATGTTTAACCATACTAACAACAACAACAACAATTTTCATTTGTCAATCAAGACGCCCCGACGGCCGAGGAGCAGAACAATTACAGTTTAAATTAAAATGTACAAATAATTGTGGCGATTTTTTTGATTGAGCTATTTCAAATTACAATACATGACAATAAAACTAAAACTATATAGGAAAAGGGAGACAACAAACACAGTGTATTCCCAAAGATAATGAGTGAGTGATTACAATCAGTACCTTTGTATTATTGAAAGAAGAGCCAGGGCTACTCATGTTTTATTACTTAATTTTGCTCTTCTAGTCTTTATCAAACTATCTTATAATTTTATCATTATGTTATTAACCATAGGATCTTCATTTGACATCAACCATACACATTTTGATTGGTCATTTAGAAATTTAAAATTAGTAAATTTAGAGGATAAATATTATCTAAAATGAAACTGGACCTTTCAGTTTTAAGTGACGGACACTGAAGAAGAAAATGAATTTCATCTTCAACAATGTCATTATTACATAATTTACAAAATCTTTTGTCTGGGGTATTCCTTTGTGTCTTCCCTTTTCTATTTCAAGTTCATGGACACTGATTCTAAATTTGGTTAACTCATTTATTGTTTTACAATTATTTAACAGTAAATATTTTTCAAGGCCAATATTATTTTTAAATAGTTTATAAGTTCTTAATTTATTTCCTTAATTATTTAATTCTGATTTTTTTAATGATAATTGACTTTATATTAGATTTGTGATTACAGCCGATTGCATTGAGTGTGTAGGCAACGGTAATATCTTTTGTTAGCTTGCAAGCTGAACCGTGAAGTCATTATTAGGTTAGGTAAACTACCCTCCTTTAAGAGTAGACTAGTCCGACAGATAACCGATCTATCTGTCTGTAGGACTAGGCTACTTCGAAAGGAGGGTAGTATACCTTACCTAATAATTACTTCACGGTTCAGCAAGCAAGCAAGCTAACCAAAGATATTACCTGTGCCTACACACTCAATGCAGTCGGCTGTAACAAATATTCTGATATTTAAATAATGAATAAATGCTACCCAACCAATTGGATAACAATTTGACTCTTCAAATGCTTCTTTAATGAGGGAGCTATTTTGTTCTGAAAGTCTGACCCAAAATTTAGTCATATTAAGAATAACCTCCAGAGATAGGGGGTATGCCCCAAACTCTCCCATCACTGCTAGATTAGTTGATCTTCTAAATGTTCTAGGTACAAATGTACCTGAAGAGAATATTTACAAAATTTAACATGTAATTTTTCAATAAACTAAATTTTTGCACATTTGGAAAAAATAGTTATCCCCTTTTGATTGTAACTTATTTGGAGAGAATTGGCCCCAAATTTCTGAGCCATATAATAAAATTGGCTTCAGTGTGTGGTCAAAAAGATGTAAAAGTGTTCTAATATTAGGTTTAAAATGAGCAAAATATCTTTTTAATTTAAAAAAGGCTTTTAAAGCTTTATTATATAGATCAGTCAGGGGTACTACTTAAACAAGTGATTTCAGAATCACTCCCTCGAGTGATTTTGGCTGTGAAATATTAAAAATTTTCACACAGACTTTTTAAAATCACTGAAACAAGTAATTTTAGAAGTTAAAATGTAATCACTTTAATAAGTGTTCATAACATTTTCTTGATATTTTTCCCACAAGCTTGATTTTTTTATTGGTAAAAAGACAACAATTCCATTGAAAAAACAACTATGTATATGCAGAAATTGTCTTTTGCTTGATAAGCCTGACACTTTTACAGTTTTTTTAAAATATGCAAAAACTGGAATAGTTTGTAGATCAGGTCATAACCTTGAAGTAGATCATTCTAACTGTAAAGAAAACCAATCAGGTTGCCTAATATTGTTGATCTTTGTCTGATAGTAAGAGTAGTTAATGAATTTTTGATTACAGAAAAATTCCCAAGGGTACTTTTAAAAGCTTTAGCGCACTAACTTACTGCCCAAGCGCACTGGTGAAATTAATATACAAAGAAAAAGGGATAATTGATTTATGTAGGAAAATTATAGAAAAGATTGTGAAAATATGGAAAATCAATGAAATTAGCATTTGAAGATCAAAGAAAACACTAAAATCACTTAAATAGGTGATAACTGAATTTATCAAATCACTGAAATAAGTGATGATGAAATCACTTGTTTAAGTAGCACCCCTGACTGTAGATTGAACCTAATACATTCTTTATGTCTTGTCCGAAGTCAGAAGCCCGTAATTCAGTGGTTGTCGTTGGTTCATGTCTGTCATATGTGTCATAAAATGTCTGATGTTAAAGTTTGACGCCAAAAGAGGACATATGACAATATACTGGTATGTGCAAAGGACTAGATCAACGACTCGTGTAATTTTAATTTAACACAATGAGAGTGTTGACCATAAGAGAATTAGGTTTAACAACTTGTGAAATTGGATATCTCTTGAAATTAACTCTTGTTATTTATTTTAAACAGTAAAAATAAACGAGCCAATCGTTTATTATTACACTGAAATGGCTTGTGTATTATTACGTTGAAATTACATAATTCGAGTTGATATTAATTAATCATATCCATTTTTCATTATGAAACCTATAATTCTTTTATATAGTTGTGGCCTGTTAATAGTGTTATCTATTTGATTTCTTGCATGAAGTATTGAAGAGATATTTGAATCATATTTCCCTTTTGAAAAGGTGTGATGAAATTTTTACACTAAGAATTTATTCCGAAAAGACTGAATACATTTCCAGAAAAGATTTATTGTTATATAAGTATAGTAACCAGGAGCAAATCGAAAGTAGAAATCCTGTCGGAAAACTACAAACAAAACGTTTATTCTACCCTAAATATCGAGATGATGCTTGCATATCTGTAGAGCCTCATGACTGCCAAGCTTCTGACTGAAAGTCTTTTAAAGGTTTGATAAATTGTGTTCGACTGAGAACTCAAGAGCAATATTAGCAAGTATTTTGTGAAAAAATATAAAACTTACACCACTAATACACAATATTCTATCTAATGTGCAAGATTAAATGGAATGGCGTCTCCCTCAGTCGGTTGACAGTAAAAGGGAGTTAAATCTAAGTAGATTGCAACACATTCACAATCTTTACGGTTAGCGTCTGCTAGTTTGGGGTTACCCATGGGTTTTCTTAAATGAATTCTTGCATAAAATTTGCATACTACCATTTAAAAGTCTTCATTTTAGTGAATGTGTGTCACATATTTTTTTTTTAAGATAAACGAATTTTTTTAATGTTTTTTTCTGTTAATTAATCAGTAGTGGTACCCGTATTGAACCTTGGATATTGCTGAAGTTATCTCCCTTACAGTTGACTGCCCAACAGAGGGCGGGTCTCTTTCAAGAACGCGGTTTAGGAAGATTAGTGGCAGACATCTTCAAACGTACACATAAGTTTATGTTTTAAGTGAATATAGGTATGTTCCATATATCCAAAGACTTCGGTCGTAAGCCAGAAAATAATTTTGTCCACGTGCCGTTGTTGTGACCTTGGAAATTAACTATCAGTTCAAACCTCTAAAAGATTATCAAACGGAAGCTTTACAGCCATTGAAATTGTTGGCATTCAAGCATCAGATTGATTACTTGGGTACAGTGTGCGCTTGCACTCGATAAAGTTACTTTCACTTTGTTTTTTTCACACGTGCATCAATACCATACCTGCCAACCTCTGAAACCTTCTAAGAGGGAGATGTCCCTCTCAGCTATGACAGCTGAGGGGGAGATTTTGCGCGAACGACATTTTCAAGTGAAATATATGACGTGTTTATTTATTTATCTACGAAACACATATAAGAGTTAATAGATATACTTTGTTTCTTTAGATATGATCATATCCTACAGAAGGTGTGTTGTTTGTTTCTTTCCTATTTCATCATCTCTGACATTTTAATCCCATCAGGACAACTTTTCACCACAGATACCTCTGTTATTACTATTAGAGAGCAATCATGTGGTCACAGATGGTGCATTATGTTTGAGCACATATATATATTTCACTATATAATATTGGTTCAATACATATCTTATAAATTTCAATATAAACATTGAATAGAAGTATAGATCTTTTAAGTGATTTTTAAAATATAATTATTTTTAGCTCGTCTGGCCCGAAGGCCAAGTGAGCTTTTCTCATCACTTGGCGTCCATCGTCCGTCGTCGTTAGCTTTTTACAAAAATCTTCTCCTCTGAAACCACTTGGCCACAATCATCATTAGGGTATCTTGTTTAAAAAATGTGTCCGATAACCCCACCAACCAACCAAGATGGCCGCTATGGCTAAAAATAGAACATAGGGGTAAAATGTAGATTTTGGCTGATATCTCTGAAACCAAAGCATTTAGAGTAAATCTGACATGGGTTAAACTGATTGTCAGGTCAAGATCTTTTTCCCCTAAAATTTTCAGACAAATCTGACAACCTGTTGTTGGGTTGCTGCCCCTGAGTTGGTAATTTTAAGGAAATTTTGCAGTTTTTGGTTATTATCTTGAATATTATTATAGATAGAGATAAACTCTAAACAGCAATAATGTTCAGCAAAGTAAGATCTACAAATAAGTTGTCATGACCAAAATTGTCAGTCAACCCCTTTAGGAGTTATTGCCCTTAATAGTCAATTTTTAACAATTTTTTGTAAATTTTTGCAATCTTTTACAAAAATCTTCTTCTCTGAAACTACTGAGACAAATTTAACCATATGTGGCCATAATCATTATTAGGGTATCTAGTTTAAAAAATTTGTCCGATGACCCCGCCTTCCAACCATCATGGCCAACTTGTTTAAAAATAGAACATAGGGGTAAAATGCAGTTTTTGGTTTATATCTCTGAAACTAAAGCATTTAGAGCAAATCTGACAGGTGGCAAATATGTTCATCAGATTTAGATTTATCTGCCCTGAAATTTTCAGAAGAATCCGACAACCCGTTGTTGGGTTGCTGCCCCTGAGTTAGTAATTTTACAAAAATTTTGCTGTTTTTTGTTATTATCTTAGATATCATTATAATATCTAATATCTAATACTATTTATTATGATTTTAACCTTATTTTACATGATTTCCAAAGCATCAGTAAGCGTGAGCGACACAGGCTCTGGAGAGCCTCTAGTTTTTTGTCTTAAGCCTAGGCATACAAAATCTTTTAATTGCCATCCTTTTATGATTCTTTTGTTTAATTTGTATTTAGTTTATATTGTTTTATCAATTCACATTATTTTAAGAAGGGTAACTCAAAACAGGATTAAACAGGGGAAGAAACCCGAAATTTCTTTGAAGTTAGCCTGGAATCCTGACCCAATCTAATACTTCATCGTGCAGTGAGCCAGGACCCCAGGCTACTTTGAAGTGTTTTTAATAACAAAGCTTGAAGCAAAAGTCATTAATGATCGTTAATTAGTACTATGTTTGACACCCAAGCTGTCAAGTGAAGCCATTTAATTTCACATGGTCTGTGATTTACAGGTAAAAACAACCCTCATCAGTGACACAAAAACGTAATTAATGTTGACTAGTCATTCAAGGTTAAGATATCCAAAAGCGGGAGATTCTATACTTCTGCGCGGAAGGGTACTGGCAAGCGGGAGATTTCCAAAATTTCACCATTTAAGTGGGAGTCTCCCACTCAAAACGTGAGGGTTGGCAGGTATGATCAATACATCATTCAACACTGTAAAGTGTTATGCAATCTATAATTGTTTGCAATACATTTCTGTGGACAACTAAAAAACTAAATCAGTTTTCCTCATATATTTTATATAAATACAAATATTTTATTGGCACAAACTCATTAACAATAAATGGTTATTAACCGTTAAGACCTATTGCATATATATAATTCTAATATGACGTTTTCAAACGCTTTGAGTACACACCCGTGGTAAAAAATGAATATATTGTTTGGGCTGTTCCGATCGTACTCCCTCGTCATATGCTTTTTTATGAATGAGCTACCCGACGTCATAGAACAATGATGTAAGAATATACGCATTCTACGGGAAATACATGCTTGTGAAACCGAAAATCATCACAACAAGGAAACGTAAACAAACGATGCTAAAATGTGTTATATAAGCCATTTTTTGTTTACATATAAGACATATGAATACAATTATCATTTTATAGATTCATCCAAACCTATCTAAATATGTCATTGTAAATAGTTTAAGCATGCCATTAAGGCATTTATTCAGTTTGCTCTGTTCTTTTACGTCAATTTAATAGTGCGTTTATTTTTGGGAACGGCAAATTAAATAATGCCTTCACCTAGAGCGCTGCGATCCAAAAGAATTGCCGTATTTGTCCTATTAGAATCGAAATAATTCATGGGGGCTTGAATATATCGTGATTTTACAACGGGTTGTCCCTTTATGCCTATCGCTCAGGGTAAAATATTTGTCATAAAGGGCCAACCCGTGGTAAAATCATGATATATTCAAGCCCCATGAATTATTTCTTAATTATATTAATTGACATGATAGAATGAAAAGCTACATGATAACACAGTTAAAAAAATATTTTGAAGGCATATTAGATATAGGCATTGCCCTCTATTCAGATCTAAAATTGAACATACATTGTACAATACACCTTATCCCTATTTGTCTGCCATTACTGGACATCACAGAGGTTCCCGTAAAATTTTGACGTCACAAGAGAAAATGTTTGATGCCACAAAGAAAAAGTGATTGTTGTATTACGTCAAAAGTTCAAGTGTATCAAATTCTCGGGTCAAGTGTCGCAGATTCCAAAATAGCGATAAGGTCTATCACTCGAGGGAGGGGGGCAATTACTATGTAATTAGTGGTAGGGATGAGCCGCTGGAATATGTAAAATTTTCAAGCTTTTTGATATATGATAAGGTTGAGAATTAAGATGAAATATATGACATGGACATGTTTGCTGATTGAAGCATACATGTACATATGTAACTATTATTAGTATCTGATTTAAATTACAGTCATTAATGCATCAGATATTTGTCTTGAATCTATTTATCTCTCCATGAAATAGCTTATGTATTTGATTATTTGTGTTATTCAAAATATATGAAAAGGGTTGGAAACTATAGGTCACCATCCTGCCTTCAACAATGAGCAACTTCCATACAACATAACAAGCAATGTAAGCCCTGGAATGACATGAATGACAAATGTAAAACAATTCACATAGAAAACTAACGACCTGATCTACATGTATGTACCAAATGCATGTCACATTGTGAAATATAACTTAATAAAGTTGAACACTGATTAAATGCCAAATATTTGTTACTGGAAATCTTTTACAAGAAAAACCAGATGGGGATCAAGGGTTTTGAAAAAGGGGGGCCTGGGGTTCCCAAACTAGACGTTTGGAGTGAAATAGGTAAAAAGTCTGTATTAACCATAAATGAAGCATCTAAATCTGACTCTGAAAATTGTTTTACAAATCCAAACAATTTGGAGAAGAAAAAGATAACCTAAGATTTTAGTAATTTATATATTTGCTTGGTGTTAGACTTGAGGACTTTCATTCAGTCTAGACTTAATGCTGCTACCAAACGCACACAAGAAAGGAAATTAGTAGAGCTTGCACTTCTTGCACGAAAACAATGTTTGTATACATGTACAGGGGGCACCTTTTAACAACATAACAGAATCTTGAAAACTGAAAATCACAAAAACATTAATAAATATTTATTCCCTTTAAAGTTTTTCATGCTTTGGTTAAAAAATTTTCCCACATTTTTAAAGATAATATTCAATTTAAGGCAGGTTCACAAGGTTTATGGTTTTCCAGACTTCACACCTGACTGCAAGCCCACAGCTCAGTCTGTATTATTCACATCCTGTCTGTCTGCACAAAGTAAACTGTAAACACTATTCCAAGGTCATGTCTGATAAGAATTTAAGTGTTGTTCTTGGAACTACAAAAAATGTATACACGATTGATGCTTATTATTATTAATCATTTAGGTTATGATTTCAGAGATTCAAGATGACAGACCCCAGTGATGGTCAGCCCATGTATATATTACAGGAAGGTGGGGAGGAGGATAACAGTACATTAGAATCTCAACAGGGAACAGTTAATATCTTTACCCAGGATGGCCAAATGGTAATGGAAATCACAGGACAAGGGGACAATTCACAGTTTGCTGAATATGGTATAGATGAGGTTCAGGCAGGGGAACAGATGCTTCAGATAGCTAACACCTTCATCAATGCTCAGGAAGGGGAGCCACATTTATTACACATTGCCAACACATTTACTGATCAAGGCAAAAATATTAATGAAAAAAAGACTGATGAAAATTATGACACTCATATTAAAGGGGAGATCATCCAGTCCGAAAATGTTAATGGTGAAATGCATATTGTTTTTGATGAAAACGAACACATTTATTCTGTTCAGGGTCAAGAAAATTCAAGCTCAAGTTCTGGAGAACAGTCAGTTCTGGTTCAAATTCCTGAAATACAGAACATAACAGATCAAAGTTTTATAAATTCTGGTGTGCAAACTGTTGAAAACATTTCACAAGTAAATGACGATAACCAAGAGATAATTATAGAAGGTATGCCAATACAGTATCAAAATTTACAGAATGTACGATCAGAGGTTTTACCTGATGGTACAGTTCAGTTATATGTGGTTGATAATGAAGAGGGAACAACTACAAAGGAAGAAGAAGAAACTAATGAGAGTGAGAAGTTTGTTGTTACAGAGGAGGAACAACCTTCTGTTGTGTCTGTGGTAAAGGAAACAAGATACCGTGATGTCGCCACTCAAATCACATGTTATCCCAAATTTTCACGCCAGGGTTTATATGATGTCGCTACACAGGTTACCAAGAGAGACATTTTAGGTGGAACTGTTAAAAATCGTCAACTTCCAAATGGAACAACCATCATTCAAAACAATATTAAAACACAAAACCAGAGCACTGTTATACTAAATGCTGGAGCAAGTTCCCAAATGGTCTTCTATAAATGTAATATATGTGGGAAGTTGTACAAAAATAAACCTAACTGGCAAAATCACATCAAAAGTCATGCTACTGAAAAGGTTTACATGTGTGGACATTGTGGGAAAATTTTCCAGAAAGCTAGTTTGGCATCCCATTTAAGGACTCATTCAGAATTAGCTCAAATTGCTGTCTTTGAAAATTTGCCTGACAATATGAAGCGTAAAAATCATAAAGCCATACCTGGACTTATATTGTCGAGTGAAGAAGCTTCTATTATAGAACTAGATATCATTGATGTACCAACCGAGGCTGATGAATCTATGTTACCGGAACCAGAACCCGAACCTGAACCGCCACAAGCCGATCTGTCAGAAGTCTACACAGATAATGACATTCCAGCCAAAATGCATATGGAAGTTGAAGCTGAGACAGAAATCCAGGAAGGAACAAAGTCAAAGTTTGTTTACAAGTGCAATGTGTGTGGTAAAGAATATAACAGTAAGAGTAACTGTCATCGTCATTTGAAATCTCACACAAATGACAAAGAATATAAGTGTGGGTATTGTGGGAAAGGTTTTACACATAAATATGAAGTCAGGATGCATTGTCGAATACATACTGGTGAAAAACCATTTAAATGTCCAATCTGTACAAGGGGATTTAATGAGAGCGGAAATCTACGTCGACACATGAAAATCCATGTCAAGGATGAATCGCCATACAAATGTGGAGTTTGCTTTAAAGGATTCAACAATACCGCTAGGTTAAATGCTCATATAAAAGTCCATACTGGAGAAATTGTGTGCGATACATGTAACAGGAAGTTCAATAAAATCTCTGATTTGTACAGACACATTAGAATACACACTGGTGAACGTCCGTATAAATGTGATTTCTGTGATAAAACTTTCTGTCAAAAAGTCAACTTAGTCACACACAAGCGTACACATACAGGACTTAAAGCATTCAGGTGTGACCTCTGTGGACTTGGATTTAGTCGCAAGACAATACTTGATACACATATGCAAACTCATGACAATCCTGCTATTGCCAAGGATCGTGGAACTGTTGAACGTACACCTGTAAAGATGGAACCTTCAGAGGAATTACAGATTATAGAGAACGAAATGTCCCGAGATCAGTCACAGATCAATCGAGTGGATACAAAACGTGAAATCATTACGGACAGCGGTACAGAAATGGAAATAGAACAATTGGCTATTCAGCAAGATATATCGCTAGATGAGGAGATTCACATTCAGGAAGAGACATGTGTAACAATAGGTTGACAATGGTTCTTATTTCTATTAATGGATTTTTATTTATTTTATGTACATTTGTTTATGCAGAAAATATCATTATAATATGCTGTGCATTTAAAATTTATTTAATATTTATTGTTAATCATGTTAAAACTTCTATCTTTTCTGATATGACATTGACATCATTGTACATGCTATATGTACTTTAAAAAAAAAATGTGAAACAATTGCATGTATTTTTGCAACTATTATATGTTAATGCTGATACACAACACAACTTTTTCTCATGAAATTCGGCAGTTATTTCAAATTTGAACCATTCAGCTTTCACGACACGTTGAATTTTGGACCACATTGTTAATTTAACATTTTACAGTTGGTTTTGATTAGCCAAGTTGTGACTAAGTTGAACTCAGCTTAAAAATTGATGAACATAATGATTGATGTTCTAATATGACACCTTCTACTCTCTGAGGTCAACATTTTGGTTTCCACACAAATCACATAATGTCCAATGGTGTGATGGGAAAACCATATTGATTTTGTGGTCACTAAGGTAAAGGGCAAATCAGAAATTGAAAGACTTTGGTTTCTAGGTTATATCTTTTGAACTAGATGTCCAACATCTACTATACTATGGCTTGAGAATGTCTCTTGGAAAGAAAATATACCCCTGTAGATTTTTGGGTCAGTAGGTCAAAGGTCGAATTCAAAACGTCTATCATAAATTGTCTGCAGAAGTTAGTCTTCCTCCACAAATGATAAAAGATGTACTTAGTCCTGACTGAAAAATGTTTTTTCTACAAATCCATAAAGATATCAACTTGGCTAATGCTTACATGGAATTTTTGTTGTTGTTGGTTTGAATCCAGAATTTGGAAGGGAGAAAGTATGAAAAGGGTTTTGTTTGTAAACTTGAAAAAATAGTATTAAGATAAATTTAATCATCATGATCATGTTAATGTTTTCAACACTGTTGATTTTATTGATATATGAATAGGCTTGTATAGTCTGGTCATTGTATCAGAGAAATGTTTTTAATTTTATGATTTTACTGTGATGACCTAAACTGCCATTTAACACATATTATATATAACTCAATTTAGCATCTTTGAATACATATTTTGTAGTAAAACATCCTCTGGGGTAAGGCTGTAACTAGTACATGTATCATAATGTGTCTAAATGTTAATAACAAGATCTTAGAATAAGGGCCGTAAGCAAATGTGTAGATTAACTAGAGAGACTGATATCAGACAGATAAGTGTGATATTATAACTAAATATATTTCATGTATTTGAAGGTTGTTTTTTGATAGATTTGTGATACTTTTTAACTTTTAGAATCCAAGGGGTAAAAATTACCCTATTGTACATTCCCTTTTAAGTTAGTCATTTAGAACTTAATTCATCAGTTTGCATAACATCAATGCAATCACATTTAAGATATACACGATGTACAACCCTAGCTGAAAGACTTCAAAAAAATTCAATTTGGCTGAAACTAGAACTTCTATGAACCAGGACAAATTCCTCTCTTTCCACTTTTATAGAAAGGTTATGTAAACAAATTATAAACCATATGATATTGAATACTTTCAAAATTTCAAAGTTGCTTAACTTTTAAATAGAAAGTGGCATAAGTTTTACTCAGATTGGTTAACAGACCAAGATTCCTACTGATGTATCATTTGGACACTGTCATCTTCAATGTTAAAATTCATGTTCTTACAGAAAATATAAATTATACATTCAATTATTGTTTTTGAACTGATAAAATATTTATACAATCATGACAATGTGTTTTATTACATATATATACCACAAGCAATAATGTTCATAGTATGCATTGTCTTTGACTCCTTCCTCGGTTTTTTGTCGAGCCTGCGACTTTTTTCGCAGAAAGCTCGACATAGGGATAGTGATCCGGCGGCGGCGTAAGCTTACTTCTTAAAAGCTAAAATTTATATTTTAGAAGCTAGAAGACCTGGATGCTTCATACTTTTTTATATAGATGCCTTATGTTACGAAGTTTCCTTCTGTCATATGTCCATTGTCCTTGACCTCATTTTCATGGTTCAGTGACTACTTGAAAAAAAAAGTCAAAATTTTTTGTAATGTTAATTTCTTTCTTATTATGAGTAATAGGATAACTATATTTAGTATGTGCCTACCTTGCAAGGTCCTCATGCCCGTCAGACAATTTTCATTTGACCTCGATCTCATTTCATGGATCAGTGAACAAGGTTAATTTTTTCGTGGTCAAGTCCATATATCAGATACTATAGGAGTAGGTCTACTATATTTGGTATATGAAATGATTGTAAGGTGTACCTGTCCAACTGGTAGGTGTCATCTGACCTTGACCTCATTTTCATGGTTTAGTGGTCAAAGTAAAGTTTTTGAGTTTTGGTGTTTTTTATGCTTCCGCCGTAGCGGTGGGGGCATTAAGTTTTACCCTTCGGCTTGTCTGTCTGTCTGTATGTACGTCCCAAAATTGGTTTCCGTTCTCTAATTTTAGTTTGCCTAAACCAAATGTTATGAAACTTATACATAATGCTTATTACCACAAAACACAGATCAAGTTTGAATTCGTTCTAGAGTTATGCCCCTTTATAAATGGAAAAATTGCAAAATTTTTAGTTTCCGTTCTCTAACTTAAGTTTGCCTCAACCAAATGTTATGAAACTTATACACAATGCTTATTACCACAAAACACAGATCAAGTTTGAATTTTGGTGTCGTCACTTTAACTGTTCTAGAGTTATGCCCCTTTATAAATGGAAAAATTGCAAAATTATTTTTTTTCTTCTAAATATCAAGTAATTTTTAAAGTTGGAGTTATCTTCCTTTGTCCATGATTATAGTTGAATCAACTACAATCAATGCTTTATACAATGCAATGTTTAATTTTGACTTCCACTGATAAAACACAGATCAAGTTGAATTTGGGTAGTGTCACTTTAACCATTATTGAGTCATGCCCCTTTATAAATCGAAAGATTGCAAAATTTTTAGTTTCCATTCTGTAACTTAAGTTTGCCCCAACCAAACATTATGAAATCTATACACAATATTCATTACCACAAAACTTAAGATCAAGTACAATTTTTTTGTTTCTGTTTTCTAACTTTATTTCTAATACTATATGCAATAGGTCAACTATATTTGGTGTATGGACATATTTTATGATGTACATGTCAGTCTCGCAGGTTTTATTTGACCTTGACCTTATTTTCACGGTTCATTTCTCAGTGTTAAGTTTTGTGTTTTGGTCTGTTTTTCTTCAACTATAAGCAATAGATCAACTATATTTGTTGTATGGAAGGATTGTAAGGTGTATATGTCTGTCTGGCAGGTATCATCTGACCTTGACCTTATTTTCATGGTTAAGTTTGTTTCTTAAATACTATAAGCAGTAGGTCAACTTTATTTAATGCATAAATTGATTGTAAGGTGTACATGTCTGTCTGGCATGGTTTATCTGACCTTGACCTCTTTTTTATGATTTATTGGTCAATTTTAAGTTTTCTTGGTTAAGACTGTTTCTTAGAAACTATAAGCAATAGGTCAACTATGTTTGGTTTATCTGACCTTGACCTCATTTTCTTGGATCATGTTAAGTTTATGTGTTACTTGTAGTAAAGCTTTATATTTAGGACTATCAACATAAAATCAATGGTTAGTAAAGAAGGCAAGACATGTGCACTCTTGTCTGTCATTAATTTAATGTTGTTTTTAAAAAGCTTAATTATTACTTATTGAATCCTGTTTTAATTAGAGTGTGGGTTCACTCTTATCGAATTATTGGATTATTTGATTATCAAAAATGTTGGAAATGGGCTCCAATTTTTGGGAGGGGGATTGTACAAATACATGTATCAAATGAGTATTCATGTAAATTATCTTTAAATTTCATATCTTTAATCAAAGTGTTTAGGTTTTTTTTAGCTCAAACTAATCTGAAACTAACACTTGTAAAGGGGACAATGGTCAATTAGTTATATGAAATACTAAACCGCTGATAAGTGTAAAGGTGGAAGAAATATAACACCAGGTATGCTGTTTTCAGCAGCGGCCTAAACAATTTGTTAAAGTTTGTGATTAGGTAAGTTTAAGGGGAACCACTAATGGTAAATCAATGATATTTGGTGTGCAGTTGTATAAGAATTAGCACATCTCATTTCCATTTAGATTATTTTAGTCCTGCCCCTCAGTCATGGTCTATTGACTTAAAATTTCATGTTAAAGTTTGTGCTTAGGTCAGTTTAAGGGGAGCCACTTGTGATAGGTCAATGATATTTGGTATGCAGTTGTATGAGCTTTGGCACTTCTCATATCCATGGAGGTAATTTGGCCCTGCCCCTTCAGTCATGATATTTGACTTTAAAACAGTTTCATAGATTAAATGTTAAAGACTGATTAGGTCAGTTTAATGGAAACCACTTATGATGAGTCAATGATATTTGGTATGCAGCTGTATGAGCATTGGCACATCTCATTTCCAGGGAGACGATTCCTCACTGACCCCTCAGTCATAGTCTATTGACAATAGACTATTTCATAGTTCAAATGTTAAAAGTTTGTGATTAGGTCAGTTTAAGGACAACCACTTATGATAAGTCAATGGTATTTAGTATGCAGTTGTAATAGCATTGGCATATCTTATATCTCAGAAATTGTTATGCCCTATTTCTATAGTCATGGCTCTTTTACTTTGAGTATTTTATATAATTTACATGGTTAAAGTATTGCTATTTTACTTTCAATATTTGCATTTTAATATCAAAATCATATACAGGCAAGACATATCTCTGTGTCAACAGTTTATGTGTCACTTGCGGTGCAAGACATAGGGATGCTTGTATAAAGCTTAATATTTCAGAGGGTAGAAGACCTGGATGCTTCATACCTTGTATACAGATGCCTGTATTACAAGTGTCCCTCTATCATGTGTTCATTGTCCTAAAATAAGCTCAGCAACTGCATAATTTGTTTGTAAAATGAATTTCTCAATTATGAGTTATAGAATAACTATATTTGGTATTATACTGTATATATTAAATGGTATATGGGATTCCTTCAAGGTCTTACTGTCCATCAGAAAAGGTTAACCTGACCTTTACCTTATTTAATGGATCAGTGATCATGGTCAAGTCCATATGATATCACAGATACTATAGGTGATAGATCAACAATATATGGAATGGTTGTAAAGTGAACATGTTTGTCTTGCAGGTTTCATCTGACCATGACCTCATTTTCGTGGTTCATTGGGCAATATTAAGATTTGATAGATTGATCTGTTTCTCAGATACTGTAAGAAATAGGTTGACTGTATTTGGTGTAAAAGGAATGTTTAAATGTACCCTTATGTCTCTGGCAAGATTCATTTGACCTTGACCATATTTTCTTGGTTTATTGGGCAATGTTAAGTTTTCATTTTTGATCGGTTTCTCAGATACTTTAAGAAACATGTTGACTGTATTTAGTGTAAAGAATGGTAGCAAAATGTATCTGTCTGTCTGTGAAGATCAATTTGAACTTTTCATTTTCATTTTCATGGTTCATTTGGCAATGTTAAGTCGGTTTCTCACATACTATAAGAAATTGGTTTGATTTTAGGAATGATAAAATGTACCCGTCTGTCTGGCAAGATTCATTTGACCTTGACCTCATTTTCTTGGTTCATTGGGCAATGTTAAGTTTTCATGCTTGGGTCGGTTTCTCAGATACTGTAAGAAATAGGTTTATTGTATTTGATGTTTGGAGTGGCCGTAAAATGTATCCGTCTGTCTGTCTGGCAAGATTCATTTTACCGTGACCTCATTTTCTTGGATCATTGGGCAATGTTAAGTTTTCATGGTTAGGTCTGTTGCTGATATGCTATAAGAAAAAGATGAACTGTATTTGGTGTAAGAAATGGTTGTAAAATGTACTCGATCGTTTGTCTGGCAAGAATCAATTGACTTGTCTTTGACCTTATTTTCTTGGTTCATAGGGTAATATTATGTTTTCATAATTGGCTCTATAAGAAATAGTTTAACTGTATGTGTTGTAAATGTAGATGTCCGTCTGGCAGGGTTCATCTAACCTTGACCTCATTTGCATGGATCATTGACGACGTGAAGTTAAGGGATGCTTGTAGTCAAATCCGGCGTTTTGCATTTGCGCTAATTTCTTTTTTCATTTGCGCCATTTTTTTATTTCATTTGCGCCAATTTACAGGTAAACACAAGTCATGAGACATATAAGTTGTACATAACTTAAATATATAATAACAAAAATACCCCTTCTGTCTGCCATCTGCCCACCACGGGAGGTGGCAGTGGGATTTTGAGCAGGATAAGTTTCTTGTAAAAGTTTCTAAAACTATACACATCATACGTAAGGGAAGGAATGGTCGGCCAAAAAATTAAGATAACCATTTCCCAGTTTCGTTTGGCTTCTTGTAATCTTTACTAAGTCCAACTGTTTGAATTTTACGCCACCAGTCTTGTGCGAGATGAAAACGACAACACTCTATTTTCGATGAAGGGAAAACATTAATTAAAACGTTGTGTATTGCTTGTTCAAAATCTATGTAAATAGATGCTGGAGTCAAACCAATTGTTTTTGCTGACATAGTCTGCATATTAAGTTCTACATGATACGATAATAATTGTCGTCTTTTGCTGGCAATAGGGCATACAGATGAGGAACGTTGTTACAATTTTTGCATCCATGTATGGTGTACATCTGATAAATATAAGTTGGGCAGCACTTGAAAGTTCCATCAATGAATATTTCTGTTATATCATTACACATACATTCCAAATTTACATGGCTTGCAATAATAATTATTCCGCTTTCAATGTCATCCACAAGCAAGACATTTTCTGACTTGCGTGTTTTGATGTTTTGGGTTAGCCTAAGTAACGGTAGTTATATAAAACTTATCAGATCTTACCTGTTCAAATTAAATTGGCGCAAATGAAAAATAAAAAATTGGCGCAAATGAAAACTTTGTTTTGGCGCAAATGAAAAAAATAATATTTTCAAAATTGGCGCAAATGTCATACGCCCGTAAATTCTCTATCCTAAAGAATCGAAATGAATTTAATCATGATCAGTGAAGCGGTCGAAACATTTCAGCGTGAGCTTTGGTTTATATCATAAGACTAAGGGGATGTGGTATGCTTTCCAATTAGATGACTATCCACTACAGTCCAAATGTCGTGTATGCCTGTATATCTTATATAAGTTGAGCTGATTTTTTTTCATCAGTGGTTGATGGTGAGTTACAGATGAAGATTTTTTGTTTCCTGATTGACCTGTCAACTCAATATATTATCCTTGCCTTAGTTGATTACACATATCACTAGACCATGGAAGTATTATATTGACTATGTTACTTTCATGACTAGGCTAACCCAAAAATTTAATCTTTATGCACTTGCAACAAGGACAGGGTTCTTTTGCTAAAATAATCATACACCCTGTTGTGATAGATACATGATTTTTGTTGCTAAGTTAAACCAAATGAAAAGTATGGCAGCATTCAAATATCGTAAATCACGGCCCATTTTGGAATGATAAGTTTTTGCAGATTCTGACCAAAGACATAAAGCTTAATTCAAAGTCGGTATATGCCATATAATTACAAACCATTCAGTCAATTCTTGTTCAGGTACACCTTTAATTCGGGTATTGAAGTTCCTTCGTGTTACAGTATCAGAGGACAAAGTGACCTTGATATAGAAAACTATGTAGGTCAAACTGACATACATATGAATGCATGATTGCACGCAAACTAAAAAATCCTTTTCGCCGACTTAGTCTTGCTTTCAAATACAACCCTCAAATGACTCGGTGAGAGTATTTTCGTTCAGTTTATGTACACGTTTTTTGAGAGAGAAAACGTTTGTGCGGATATGTTAGATCGGCCGTGGTATGTTTATGTGGGCTCGTGTTGTTCGGTCTTCAGTTATATGTAGTGTTTTGTAAACTGTTGTCTGTCTTTCCGATTTTGTCGTTTTCTTTTTTGTATTGTTGGTTTTTTTCTTCGACTTGTGATTTTATAGTGTCCCTTTTTTTTTCCCGGTTTATTTTTTATAATGTAACTTTATTAATATACATGTATTTTAACATTTTTTCAAGGATCGTCATCACACAATTAAACCACATCTTTTATTTATAGAATTTGATTTTCTAGCAAAGGCAGTATAGTAACAAATCACAGATCTAACAAAAAATTGCAACATTTATATCCGTCCGTACATGTTGAGGTATTAATGTTCATGGTCTGGGTCTCCTATGACGGTATCGTCTGTAAGGAACTGACCAGTCGGCTTCATAGTTACCATTACCAGACTATCTTCTCCTAAATACAAGAAAAAAGTTATTTAATGGAAGAAACGAATTTTATTCAGTTTAGACCATTCTGAACTTTAACTATTAATCTGAACTCAGACTGAATTATAAAATGTATCGATAGAAAGTAGAATGCAGACATAAATTGAAATCGTAAGTGGAGAAATATAGAATTTCCATATTGCAGAGAAATATAAGAAATTTAGCCTGTCACTGGAAAGGATTTATTTGACAGGACAGAAATCTCACCTTCATAGGACATGCCATCCTCAAAGAGGTGCTGCATGAGTTGTTAAATGATTAGTGTGTGGCACTCTCCCTGTACACAAGAGATTTTGGAGGCGTTAAATTTATCGCCCCAATTACAACTGCATGCATGTGGCTGCAGATTTATATATCCAGATTAGCCAAACGAACTGTCCTTTTCAGCATGGGTTTTACTGCTGGATAGTGGAAGCCAAGAAAATATGTTTATATACTTCAGTCAACCATTGGGGTATAAAGAATAATATCAAAGCAGACAAGAAATGAACAACTGAAATTACCTGCTTTATCCTTCAGTTTGTGTTTCTTTTTTCTCTTTCTTTTTCGATGATGGACATTCTGATCATCGATCTAGAAGTATAAAATGGGTTAAACATATTCCTTAGAAGATACTTTCCCAACACTTTTACTTGCCATGCGTATGTCTCAAGTTGCACGTTTATATAGGCTCTAAAACCATCTTTTTTCAAGTAAAGCACACTGTCCTCCTTAACACTCGAGTTCTCCCTTCAAGAAGAGAGAAGGTCTGAGTTGTAACATTAACTATAATGCAGTGTATAACATAAATCTCACATTACTGTTCTGTGTAATCAATGGAGACTGGACGCAGGAAAGAAGAAAACATAAACAGCTAATGAAATCTTTAAATTAAATCTTATAGTCAGTAGTGCTATTGAATATTTTATTTTAGGGAACAAATGAGTAAACTACTTACATCTGATCCCATTGGTTGAAATAACAAGTTTGTCACATGTTTTTCTTTATTGTAATGGGGGGATATTGAGTGTCTTTTTCCCAAGATATCTGAAGAAAAAAAAACATTAACTGTTTTGAGCATTAGAGTAAATGATTATAAAAGAGAGGCAAAAGATACCAAAGGGATAATCAAACTTATAAGTAGAAAACAAACTGACAATGCCATGGTAAAAAACTAAAAACGACAAAAAAGACAAGCAACAGTACAAAAAACATAGAAAAACTAAAAACTGTGCACAAACCCCACCCAAAAAACCTAGTTAATCTCAGGTGCTCCGGAAGGGTTCGCAGATCCTGCTCCATATATGTCACCAGTCTGTTGCTCATGTAAGTAAAAACACGGTGATAAGTCTAAATCGGTATGTTACATTTGAGGGAAAGAGGACGGGATTGTGGTTACAATTGGAACATATCCGTCGTCATCTGTAAAACAGATATTCCATAATGTTTAACCAACTCGTCATTTTTCGAAGGGATAATTTCACCTTCACAACTTGGAACTCTTGGCTTAATAGCTTTCTTGTAAGCAGCAACCCTCCATCAAGGAAATCATGATATCGTATCAACTGGGAGATATATACACCATATGCAGGCGCTGCTTGAATTTTGCTACATAGAAATGGAAAGTTTACAAAGGGGAAGCTGAACTCATCTCTTTTGTCGTAAAGTTTTGTTCTCAGCCGACCTTATTCTAATTTCTAGATGTAAGTCAAGATATGAGGCAGACTTAACTGTATCTGTTGTATCATTTATTTCCAGTTCAGTGGGATAGATGCTTTCAACATAGTCACCAAACTCAGTTTAATTATTTAGTGGGAGGATATCATCCAAATATAGCGGAACGTGACGTTTAAATGATACTGTTAGCTTCATTCGTCCTAAGACGCTCCTGTATGAAGTCAGCCTCTTATGAATAGAGGAACAAGTTGGCAAGAGGAGGGGCACATTTGGTTCCCATGGGAATGCCGATTGTTCGTTGAAAAACACGTTCTCCAAACGTAGCAAATATGTTGTCTGTAAAGAAATCAAGCATCTTGATAATGTCAGTTTCAGAGAAATGTTTGTTTGAATCAGAGTGATCTTTTACAAAGTACGATTTATCCCTCTCTAAGACAAGCTATTTGTATATAAGTTGGTCATTCCTTTTTTAATGAAACAAAGCAGCGTATCGTTTCACAAAAAATCTTAAGAGAAAAAATACTCGTAAGTCATGAACATATCTGTATAACTTAAGATCGACTTTTGTCATAAGATTTTTTTGTGAAAAGAGACCCAGGACCAGTTCTTTCAATTTGTCTTTTAGTTTGGAATGGGGAATACTTGTGTAAAGGGTAGAAAAGTCAAATGTTTTAATACTATTAATACTATAACATACATTCTCCCAATATCCCTTATAATAATTATTTAATCTGCTATGGTTTTGTACAATAGTTCGCATCCTTGAGATTACTGTAATTTGTATCCTTGAAATTGCTGTAATTTGTAGCCGATTAAAGGAGATATGATACAGTAAAGAAAATTCAGTGATTGGTGTTTTTTTTTTTTTTATTTATTTTATATACAAAATAAATTTTGATATCACTATCCTTTTTAAACATGCGAGATATAAAACCCGACTTACTTTTTAAAAGTTATATTTCATAGAGCCATTTTGACATATCCTTGGAGGCCCTTCATATGCTAGTTTTTGTCTTGGCTTCGACGAATGTGGCAGAATGCAAGATAAAAGCAGGCTAATCCGATGGTCAACTATATATTAGTTGTCTAAAATTATTGTAAGGTGTGCATGTCCGTCTGACAGGGGTCATCTAACATGCGCCTTATTTTCGGTGACAGTTTCTGTGATACATCAAGATATGGAAGCCTTGCAATATGAAATACCAGTGGCGGATCCAGAGGGGGGCGTAGAGGGCGTACGCCCCCCTTTGCCTGCACTTTTATTTTTTTTTTTTTTTTTTGTAAAATGATCAATCAGACTAGACTTCACGAACTTTGCCATTTCCAGTGTATTTAATTTTTATGCGACAATTCTTTACTTATAAAGATATTTTTCGCTCGTATTTACTGTAATGTATTATTGATTATGTCAAAGTCATGTGATTCGCTACGGTGGAGTTGACCAGTACGTCGAAAAAACGTCACTCAGTCATTTTGAAATTCAAATTACAGTAACACATTGCTTAGGCTGAGGATGACAAGCATGACGCCTTCAAAGCGACAAAGTATCGAGCAAGAACGTATTGACTTCTATTTCACAATTCCACCCAACAGAAAGTAATACTCTATTACACTCTCATGAAGAAAAAAATATTCCACAGCAATATTATTTACCTACGAAAACATGTTTAACCCCACACGTCCCAGCCCATTAATAATATTGCTGAATAGTGATCCCCCGTCAGTAAGCTCTAGATATAGATTTAAAGTCTAAGGTACGGACTATTTGAGGGGGCAGTCTTATTTTAGAGAAAAAATTCTGACCCTGATTTTTGCCTTAAACAAAAATTCTGGCCGTATCTGGATTGAAAACAATAATCTTGTCCACTTTTTTGCAATTAGAAAAAAATATTTTCAACAAAATAATTTAGCATTAAATGAACATGAATAAAAAACGGGCGTAATTTATTTTTGGGGGGTTGCATGTGAATCCCATATCTGACCGGAATCATCTGTTTTGCCGAACTGATATACTGAATACTTTTTTCAAGGCCCGACTGCAACCTGCCTGCTGGGTGTGGCCTATATGTCTCCATGTGTCGACCGTCATTCACAACTTCATTGTCATTTCCGACTCATTCGTAGCCTTTGGTTGATTTGGAACCCCTCACTTCCCTTGTTGGTTGAAACATTTCAACCAAACATTTGGATAAACAATTGCTTGTTTGTCTTTCTTCGTGTCGGTCGTATTGTAAATTTCATTGAATAGCCGTATATCTTGTTTACAACAAGAAATCTGTGAGGTTATGCTAACTAACCAGACAACAAACGAGAATTTTTCATGTCCATTTTTTACTGACAAATCCCACATAAAATATATTAATTAGTACATAGCTTTGGATCCATCCAATCATTTTATAATAGACAATTAATGGAAAGAATACAGCACCAAAAATGTCCAACCCCTACACTTTAACTATAAAATGCATTTTACACTTATTTTATGTTTTTTAGCCAAAAAAAGGTCCAAAATTTTTTTAACTATAATACTACGCCCCCCCTTTCCAAAATCCTGGATCCGCCCCTGAATACAATCAGTAAAACATACGATACCGGCGTTTCAGCGTCCTCAGTGATTTGAGAACAACCTTATTTCTCTTAGATTCCTCTCTGGACCTAGATATGTTTAATAGGATAATATAATACTATAGTCAAATATAGTTACTTTTCACAATCATCACTTACCGATCCTTGGTTTCTGATTCTGTCTGTTATTGTAATCGTTAGAATCCTATAGTGATATGAAAGAACGTATTTATATATATCATGTGAAGGAAATCAAATGTGTTACTGTACATTTATATTTTTGCACTTCAAACTGAATTCTGAGACTACTGTGTTATATGCTTTAAATGTTTAGCTTTAATATACCTATACAATTGCTTTTAGTCAGTATGACACAACTCTGATTTTGATCCGAAAATTTATTAATATTTACTGAGGTTAAGGTGAGAGGAATACGTTTTGGCTGAGAGTGCTCTTCGATTCAAAATTTTACAGAACATTCAAAATCTGCAATATTTTACCAAAATTATTTTCAACAGATAATAGTCTTCAGTAAATAGTATGGCTAGTATATACAATTTTAAGATGAAAGGTCAGATTAAAAAAATCAGTTGGGCATCATTCAGAAACATTAATATTTTACTTCCAGTAGATTGCATCAACTTTCCTCAAATACGATGAAAAGGGCTAAAATACCTAGAAAGGTAAACATATTGCAGTCACTGTTTGAATCTCGAGAGTTAAGTTGGGTTAAACAATCTTCTTTGCTTCCGAACCGTAATTGTACTGATATTGTTTCGATATGTTATCACACAGCCCAGAAATCAGCACCAGACCAAAAAGCCACTGTTCTTCAGTTATGTCTTACCTGTGATGACCTCATTTCAAATGGCCGATTTTCATCTGAAACCAGGTCTGTAAAATAAAGGTGTGAAACTAATAATCTGCTATAAAAAGAAATATATGGTAAACGTTAAGGACACGGTATTCATCAATTTAAAGCAAGGTGAGAAGTTATCTGAAGGACGCAAACTCGAAAACTGAAAAATATAGGAGCATATATATGACTGTCTGCGTTTTGTTCATTCTATTTTATTTCAAATACATGTATTTATCTTTTGGTCTAAATTTTCTTACAAATTGGATACATATCTTAAGGAACTTATTAATTTTTAATTCTTATTTTTCATGGCGTTCAGTTCCAATTTACCTTTCTTTTTTCGTCTTTTCTTCCGCTTTCTATGGCCGTCCACATTATCCATGTGTGGGAGTTCATCATCTGTATTAAACTGGAAATAATGGTTTACATGTAAATGCAAACGAGACATAACCTCCTTCAATTACTGAAGATATGTGAACATTTTAGTTAATAAAATGCCTGCGAATAGCGAATGAAAATCTTATATGACGCAACCACAAATAATTCGTGTAGTTATTTATATATATTTATGCGATTTTTTAATAATTGTCGCACCATTATAGTATTACCTTTGCGCTTCCTTGTCGAAGCTTTGATTCTAGTCGTTTGTCTTCGTCAACTAAATTTTCTCTCCAACCAACCCGTCTGTCATTCGATGGTTGCACAGCAGGCCTCAGTGTCCCGATCCTTGGCATTGTTCGTTTTATTTTCGGACGTTTCTTCAAGCATATCCCGTCTGGAATATCAAGTGGAAAAGTCCTAATGATCAGACAGCATTCGGAGTTGTTATTTGATGGAACAATTGGCAGATGAAAGATTTAGACTCTGAAGTTCTGTACAGCCAAGATATATTCTATAAAAAGAGTTCCTTATATATTCACTTAGCAATTATTATACTTTGATAGAAGAATGTTTGTCGAACCAAAATATCAACTTAAAAATGTATGTATTTGTATATGTGTAATGTATACGTACGTTTTCCACATGCCTGTGCACAGTTTCCCATGCTGTAAAAGGAATAAACGTATGTCAAAAGCAATATTACTTACACCAGAGACATATTGTATTATATGTCTCTACTTATATACTCTACGTGCTTTACAAAACATGCCAATGGCATAATTACTAATTGTACGTGCTTTACAAAACATGTCAATGACATAATTACTAATCCTACATGCTTTACAAAACATGTCAATGGCATCATTTCTAATTCTACGTGCTTTACAGAAAATGTCAATGGCAGCATAACTAATTCTACATGCTTTACATAACATATCAAAAGCATCCTTCCTAATTCTACATGCCTTGAAAAACATGTCGATGCCATCATTACTAATTATACATGCTTTACAGAACATGTCATTAGCAGCATTACTATATTTACATGCTTTACAGAACATGTATGGCATCATTACTAATTCTACAAAAAATTACTGAACATGTCAATGTCAAGATTACTAAATCTACACCCTTTAATAAAACATGTCAATGGCATAATTACTAATTGTACATGCTTTACAAAATATGTCAATGGCATCATTACTAATGTTACATGCTTCCAGAACATGTTAATGGCATCATTACTAATTCTGAGCATTTCAGCACTAAATAATATACGTGTCTTCCACTGACCCCAGCACAGTGTGATAACGTTGTATTCTACTGACCTCAGCTCTATCAAAAACACGTGTCTTCTACTGATCTACTGATCTCAGCTCTATCAAATACACGTGTCTTCTACTGATCACAGCACTATGTAAAACGATGTATTCTACTGACATCAGCACTATATATAATACACGTGTCTTCCACTGACCTCAGCTCTACCAAATATACGTGTCTTCTATTGATCTCAGCACTATGTAATACCTAGGTCTTCTACTAACCCGGCTTGGAGTTTGGTGCATAAGAAATCATGGCAAAACAAATAGCAGAAGAAAAAGTAAACAACAACAAAACGAAACAAAAAACGAACAAACCAAACAAAACGTTTTCTATATCGTAGAACACGCCAATAATACTTACCTTAAATTGAGGTAATTAAAATGATGATATTTTTCTGTATGTCAATGTGTTTAAATTATTTCAATTCAAAAGAAAACTTTCACGGACAGTAAACAAAAATAAAGGCATTGTTTTACCTTGTATATAACGTTTATAAACATGGATTTAACTTCTTGATAAATCCAAATGCAAAGCATATATAATAAAAATATTAAGTGTCATATATAATTAACATGAAATAGGTTTATGAAACTTAGATTATTGAAGAATCGAGAAATTATCTTTATATAAGCTTATACTTAATAATAAATCTTACACGGCACTAAAACTATCTTCCTGTTTCGTAACAAATTGTTTAAATGCGAGAAGTAATCTATTGCAATAGATTTTCATTATACATGTATTTTATATTCACATAATTGTTTTTATTTTACTGCCATGATTATCCATTCGGTCATTACCATTTATTGTAATGCGTTTGTGCCAATAAAATATTGTAATATTGTCATATAATATTGTATATCAGTCATTTCAAAATAAAGTACAATTCCGAATTGGAACTTTTAAAAAAGTAAAGTGGTTTGAATACAAATTATATTTAAAGAACTAAAAACACATTGCTTTTCGAACATATTCCCAAAATATGCAATCTTATCGACACCTGAAAATGATTTTTTTTTAAATATTGTGCCAGATGGTGTCCGATTTTGTCCATCCTGTTACTTTTTTCAAATGTCAGAAAACATGATATTTAAAAAGAATATATCTAATCAAAGTATGTATCGTACTTATATAACAGTGTACATTTGACATCCCATTAACATTTATCCTTTATGAAGATTACCAAAAAAAAAATCTGCAGATAGTCGGTACGTTCAGAAAAATCATCATTTTTTTTATTTTCTAAAAGCTCTTAAAAAAAAAGTTTGGTAAACTGGGCAGCACAAATCGACTAGTTTGTCCCTTTTTAATAGTATTAAATACAAACTTAGCCAAATGATCAGTTTTGTTCATAGTAAAAATTATTTTACACATTTTTGAAGGTAACAGGAACGAACAATGGCAGTAACAGGAAAGACAAGGAAGTAACAGTAAAGACAAAAAACTTCTGGTCACACAAATCAATAAAAAAACAACTTTTGGGGATTTCCCAGGGATACAAAACCAGACAAATAACAAAAACTGAATAAATTGTATTCCCTGTTTCGTCGCTTACCCTGAAGTAAGACCAATACCTGGTTGGCCCGAAGTCATAAAAATGGGTAAAGATAAAGTGACATGTCATTTTGTGAGTTCAGTGCTTTTACGATTTTGCTCAGTATGTTGGTCTTTATCTCGTTATGTAAATCTCACCCTGAATATGCATTTAAATGTAAATGGACGCTTACCAATTACCAATCCGACCTTCCGTCATACAATCGTAGAGAAAGTATACATTATAGGAGTAAAAACCAAAACTAATTTTCAAACTTTAAAGTAAAACTTCTTAAAAGAACACAACACAAGATTTGAACAAAAAGTCATGAAGAACATTTTCGATTGTCAATGATTAATATTGTAGTCTTGACAAGGTTTTTGTCCATATTTCCGGATCCACTTCATAATTACTGGAAGACCCTTTGATTTTCTTTGGCTTTGGAATAATGGCCAATATTCTTGAGTAGTTGTACCAGCACTTGTCTTTTACAGCTTTTGGCCAATAAAAGACATTCTTCTTTATATCTCTTTCAAGTCTTTGCATGCATACCACGTATACATCTGAAGAATCTACGTCTTCCACATACCCTGGATATGGTGTGCTTTCATAGTCTACAATGACGTACTTGTGAAGACAATTTTTAGCGTCAGGGATGATTTCAACAGGCTCGTTTTTTTCCAATAAGGGCACAAAGTGGTTTGGAACCCAGTAGTTATTGTTCATATCGAGGCGAGTTGATGTCCACATAATATACAACGGTTTATCGGAATCTTTTTCCATTGGCTCTATTCTCCGATAAAGATCTTTCCGTACGTTAGGATTCCCTTTTTGGGGATACACTGACACTATTGGCCTTCTAATAACACTTGCCAGAGCAAAAATCTGCCATATGCCCATGTATGTTTTGGAATTTCTTATCTGCATTATTTCTCTCTCATATATATCTTCAATTGATCTTTCCGTCAATACAACGCCATGGGTGTATTCATCAGAGTACATTGCGAAACTTTTTAAGATGTTTTTATTCTGGTCATCGGTCCCAAAAGCATTTGACAAGTAGTTTTTATCCAGATAAAACTTTTTGTTTAGAGATAATTCTTTTATGATATGAGCTCGGATTTCATCGGCATAAGAATCGTTTCCAAAAACAAAAACACTTCCGCATGCTGGAAGGCAGTTTCCATCAGCTCTGACCTGTACTGGAAATAGAGTTTTGTCGGTGCAGACGTCATCTGGGAATAGTTTCATGGATCTATTGTCAATAGCAAAGTTATCTTTTTGAACAAACCGATCTTTTCCATGCAAAGTTTCTGTAATAGATTCCAAACAAGTAATTTGCAAATGTTCAAAAGATCCACATTGTTGCAATGTTTGCAAAAGACTTGAATTCCTGTTTTGACAGGTTTTGTCCTCTTCCATTTTTCTCTGTAATATAACATCTTTTTTATAAGAATTCTTGATTTCCAAATTTATATCTTTAGAAGGTGTTGATGTAGATACCAGTGGTTCAGATTTGTTAATCAACTTTGCTTGATCTGTACCTCCACATGCAGAAAATTCAAACGAATCACAAAGATGGTCAGAGCAATGAACATCAATGCAGCTTATGCCTCTATACCTTAGCTTTCTCTCTGATTCGGTGAAGATTTGGTGTATTTTCATCGTACCTGGAATAGTTTTCAATGGTATAGGAATTCTTTTGTCTACTTCTAAAACGTCAGGCTCCTTAACTTCGTAAAGCTTGATTTTAGTACCAGTCTCAATCGTCTTGATAAATGCATCTGCTGTCAATATATCTGCTCCAAAGCTAACTTGTCTATCTGCTGATCGTTTAATAGATCCCCCTATGCCATCTGGTATTCCCTTCCCATGTCCTGCTTCGTGGAAGTTCCAGCAAGCACCAGTGAACCCAAGCTCAAATGGCATGGTTGAAAGAAGATAGAAATTAATTTTCTGTCGATCTGTACTGACTTGTAGGTCCATCGCTGTAAAAATGCAAGTACTCTACAAATGGATACAGATCTTTGATTTCATTCAACATAGGTAGCATGTATGCCCATATACTTTGAGGGTCATGTCTGAGGGAATCTGACACTCCACAAAATGAACGGATAGTATCCATATCTTTTGTAACATAGTAACCAGTATGAAGGGAAATTTGTGGTAATGATGCTCCAAAATGCATCGACTGAATTTCCTTTGACATCTTGCAAGAGTAGTTTTCTGAGAAGTCTACATGAATCAGACATTCAGTTTGACTTAAAGTTTCTTTGAGAGTTTTGTAATGTTTATACTGATTTTTGATATTGAACAGATGGCGACTGTACGAGGGTCTTAATAACTCATGAAGTTTTTCTGTTGCCTTTTCGATAGAAGCACTTTCTTTTTCCTTCACCGTGACGCTCAATTCTTTTTCGTCCCCACCTTTGAAGGTCTTTTTGATCTTTTTAGTTTGCCATTGAGACCAGGTTACTTCAACATTATTGTCCTCTACTGTTAGTTTGACAGTCGATTGCTTACAGTCTAGACAATTACCATACATACAATCAAGATTATCCATGGAACATACTGTTTCTTTTACTAAACTTTCTAAGTTTGCAGTCTCAACAATTTTTGCTTTCTTAAGACAATCTGCAATCAATCCTACGTTTTCGCAACATTTACAAAGGCAAGTTTCTCTTTCTTTTTCTGTTGCTTTTCTAATCCAGTAAGGTTTTAGTTTCCAGAAAGTTATAAAGCCTATCTTATCATTGTTTTCTGCTTTAAATTTGACAAAAAGATTCGAAAGTGTGTCGTTCAGGAATCTAATTTGTTTTTTCATTTTGTTCACAGTTTTTGTCTTCTTTTTATCAGTGGTAATTCTGGAATTGTCATCTCTCTCGAAAAAGGCCTTTACTGTTCCTCTAAGGTTGGCTGATATTGTTTGTTTTGACTTTCTTTTCCTTTTACTTTGGTTTGTCACCTGAATTTGGCTATGGGCAAACTTCGTCAGTTTATACTTTCGGAATAACTTGCCCCTGAGAATTTCCAAGATTGACTTCTTCATTGATCTATTTTTCTCACAGCTGTTTTGCATTTCATTAATTAGAACATGATGAAAGTCTAAAGTTTTTCGAACAGACTTGAAGTTCCTTGATGCATGTTTAAACAGCCGTTTTGTCCTGCTTCGTGGTGTTTCTAATTTTTTATTTTCTATCAAATTCATCTTATTTTTTTCTCTCTTTAACCTCATTCTGTACATTTGCACTCTTCTGTTTGACTCTTCAAGTTTTCTTATCAGTAATTTGTTTGTTCTGTAAACTTTAGCTTTTTCTCTTTTTCTTTTCCTCTTGCTTGCAATATTCTGTCTCGACGGTCCTGGAGCATTTTCCTGTAAGGCAACTGGTACGCCCTCTTCTTGAACGGCTTGTTCATCGTTAGTAAGAGGGGATCCAGGGGGTGTTAAAATATTCTTCATATTGGTTTGTCTCTTTCGTAGATCCCTTTTGTAATTTTTCCAATATTTTCTCTTGGAACGAAGTTCTCGTTTAGTCATTTCATCTCTATTTTTTTTCTTCCCTACATCCTTCAGCATCTTGTATCTTTCTCTTTCATTTCTTAAATATTGTTCACGTCTAGAAGGGTCAGTATCTCTTTTAAGCCTGTAACGACGCTGTTTCTCGGCCTGAGATAGTACCATGACTGCAAGAAAGAAATACAAAATTGGTTATTATATTTTATAAGCAAAATATTGTTATTACAAAATAGCACACTGAAGCAATATTGGTTAAATCTGAGGTTAAAAATAAAGAAGTTACCAAGCAGAACAAAAACCATTAATAGAGAATAAATATAAAACAATTTAGGTTCATATACTAGAATAAACATCTAAGTCTTTATTACAAACGATGAAGCTATAACAAAAGATTATTGAAAAAAAACCAATGCAAATTTAATATGACACGCTTAATGGTTGTACGGTAATATCGGCGACTGAACTTTCATTTATAGTTGAAAATGATAATAAGACATCAATGGAGTTAAATATTGCCAGATCGAATGAATTTTACAAGTTTAAATCGCAAGTCATCGTTTTATTTTCCTTTGCATTATCATATATAAATGTCTATCCTGTTACCCGTTTTGTCCGTCCTGTTACCAATCAAGG